TGTTTACAGTGAAACATATAAGTGAACAGTATTTAGATAAGGCTAAAGAGGTCTTTGTGGCATTTATGGATTTGGAAAAGGCGTATGACAGGGTGGATAGGGGGGCAATGTGGCAGATGTTGCAAGTGTATGGTGTAGGAGGTAGGTTACTGAAAGCAGTGAAGAGTTTTTACGAGGATAGTGAGGCTCAAGTTAGAGTATGTAGGAAAGAGGGAAATTTTTTCCCAGTAAAGGTAGGTCTTAGACAAGGATGTGTGATGTCACCGTGGTTGTTTAATATATTTATAGATGGGGTTGTAAGAGAAGTAAATGCGAGGGTCTTGGCAAGAGGCGTGGAGTTAAAAGATAAAGAATCACACACAAAATGGGAGTTGTCACAGCTGCTCTTTGCTGATGACACTGTGCTCTTGGGAGATTCTGAAGAGAAGTTGCAGAGATTGGTGGATGAATTTGGTAGGGTGTGCAAAAGAAGAAAATTAAAGGTGAATACAGGAAAAAGTAAGGTTATGAGGATAACAAAAAGATTAGGTGATGAAAGATTGAATATCAGATTGGAGGGAGAGAGTATGGAGGAGGTGAAAAGTATTCAGATATTTGGGAGTGGACGTGTCAGCGGATGGGTCTATGAAAGATGAGGTGAATCATAGAATTGATGAGGGAAAAAGAGTGAGTGGTGCACTTAGGAGTCTGTGGAGACAAAGAACTTTGTCCTTGGAGGCAAAGAGGGGAATGTATGAGAGTATAGTTTTACCAACGCTCTTATATGGGTGTGAAGCGTGGGTGATGAATGTTGCAGCGAGGAGAAGGCTGGAGGCAGTGGAGATGTCATGTCTGAGGGCAATGTGTGGTGTGAATATAATGCAGAGAATTCGTAAGTTTGGAAGTTAGGAGGAGGTGCGGGATTACCAAAACTGTTGTCCAGAGGGCTGAGGAAGGGTTGTTGAGGTGGTTCGGACATGTAGAGAGAATGGAGCGAAACAGAATGACTTCAAGAGTGTATCAGTCTGTAGTGGAAGGAAGGCGGGGTAGGGGTCGGCCTAGGAAGGGTTGGAGGGAGGGGGTAAAGGAGGTTTTGTGTGCGAGGGGCTTGGACTTCCAGCAGGCATGCGTGAGCGTGTTTGATAGGAGTGAATGGAGACAAATGGTTTTTAATACTTGACGTGCTGTTGGAGTGTGAGCAAAGTAACATTTATGAAGGGATTCAGGGAAACCGGCAGGCCGGACTTGAGTCCTGGAGATGGGAAGTACAGTGCCTGCACTCTGAAGGAGGGGTGTTAATGTTGCAGTTTAAAAACTGTAGTGTAAAGCACCCTTCTGGCAAGACAGTGATGGAGTGAATGATGGTGAAAGTTTTTCTTTTTCGGGCCACCCTGCCTTGGTGGGAATCGGCCAGTGTGATAAAAAAAAAAAAAATAAATAAGTATAAAAGTAAATACAAGTGTAAATATAAAAGGACCCCAATGGAAATAAGCCTGACTTTTTTGGGTTATCCTTGGTACTTTACACATATGCTGCTATGCATGATAATTATGTACATAACTGTATTTGTGTATACCTGAATAAACTTTCTTATTTATAAATTAAAAAGTAAATCTTTTTTATTTATAAATTACATACATTGTTTGTGTGAATAGTGGTGGCGGCTTCTGCTGCTGCCTCCACCACCACTAATATGTATGGCTTCTCTGTGGCCCTTACAAACCCAACAACACCACCACCACTTATTCCTCGCATACATTATGATATATTTTATTAATTCTAGAGTATATATATCATGTTTCTATGTTGTTAATATTGTTTATTATGTCATATTAGATGAATTTTGATAGATAAATAAGCTGTAGAGATATTAACGTCATATTGAAGCATAATAAACTCTCCTTCCTCTCGTCTCCTACCTGTCTTCCATACACCAACAAGAGTAGATAAGTGTGATGTTAAATGTTCATTTATCCATTTTATTAGTGCTTTATATTTATTTGTCATTGTTTTCTGCATGTATATCTGTATTTAATCTTTAAAAATATTTTTTGCTAATACTTTTGGGTGTCTGAAATGGATTAATTGGATTTCCATTATTTCTTAGGGGAAAATTAATTCGGATAACAACAGAATCGGTTAAAGACAAGCTCTCTGGAACGGATTAATATCGTTAACTGAGGGTCCACTGTACTAAAAATAAGAAGAAGAACTTTATGAAGTTGGGATGTCTGGATGTAGTGCAAATAAGAAAGAGGAGTCTTTATGAAAAGATTAAGTAAGGGTCATATGGCAAAAAGTGGGTTATACTTGGATTTTATGCACCCAAGAAGATTGAGATTGAAAGAGAGATCGAGTCTGGAACACATTCATACAGTATTATGATGTCAAAGAGATAGTGGATCAAATGAAAATGCTGGCCCACAGATGGCTCCAACTTCATCCTGTTCCCTACTTGTATGTTTCATAACAATAAAAATGCTTTCAAATGAGCTGATGTAGGTAACAGCTCTTAGCTTGTCAATAAAGTTAGGAATCCTGAACCTAACCTTGTCAAACCCTGTTTAAAAAAAAAGATTGAGATTGAGTGTGAGATTAAGAGACAGTGAGATTGAGAGTGAGACAGATTGAGAGACAGTGAGATTGAGAGTGAGACAGATTGAGAGACAGTGAGATTGAGAGTGAGACAGATTGAGAGACAGTGAGATGTTAAATGAGTGTTTAGGGAGCTTTGAACCAAATGAAGGTAATTGTGGTGGAGAACTTAAATGCTGAAGTAGCAGCAGTTGTAGTGGGCATAGTAGGTAAGTTCGGGGTGCCAGGGGTAAATGGTAATTAGGACCCTATGATTTAACTTTACAGCAGCCATCTTAAACTGAGGTGGGGTGACCCAAAAAAGGAATCACTTGCTGTCTTGCCAGAAGTGTGCAGATACTGCAGTTTAGATGCCCCTCTAGACTGCAAAATATCCCCACCCCATTTTCAGAGTGCAGACACTGCACTTTCTACCTCCAGGACTCAAGTCTGGATAACTGGTTTCCTTGAATCCTTTCACAAAATATTACCTTGCTTACACTTCAGTTGTTCATAAAGTCTCAAAAATCATTAATCTCCACTCACTCCTATTTAACATTCTCACACACGCTTTCAGGATGTGAAGCTCACATTACTGTATTTTTTTTTTTTTGAGGGGGGGGGGGCTTTAAGCCTATCTTAAAGATGCAGACAAACATTAATCCTTAGTGTCCAGACCTCCAGTCTGAAAAGTGTCCAGTGTCCAAGAATTTAAAAAAAAAAAAAATGAAATGGTAGAGAATCTTTTTCTGAGGGTAATAAAACAAGAAATAAAAAAAATTGATGGAAAACATATGAAATTAAGCTTTTGCAAAGTTTGTTGTGTTAGCAGTATTTACACATTGGTGATTTTTGCACACTTTGAATCCTATTTTAGGCCAATTACATTGTGCCAGTTGACCAAATTCTTGGCTATTTTGCTAGTATGACTTCCATGTTATTGAGCACATGAAACTGCCCAATTGACTATTTCAGCTACCCAAGAGAGTGATCAGAAATTGGTAATTTGGCCAGTTTCACACACATTTCAAAATAGAGTACAGAATAAACAATGCAGGTATTCCTGGCACTAAAATAACACTTCCTCTGTTCATTAGTTACATTCCCAGGCTTTAACATGTAAATTCCATTTTGAAAATTTATGTGCACAATTTTCATTCACAGAAAAAAAAAAGGAAGATTTACTGTTACGAATTATTGTAATTGTATAAATGTCAGAGCATTTGTGAATGTATGTTAGACCAACCAGTTGGATGCATATTGGACAGGTGACATGATTTGTTTACTCTGGAATATTGGCAAAATCGAATATTACTGCTACATTGAACTTTATTTCAAGCTAATTCCAGTTCTCATTCTGTAATATATCTTCCATTCTACCAGACGATACCCAAGAAACTGAGAATACATCCATAAAAACCGTCTGAAAACACGCCGCAAAGTCGCTATTTTAAACCAAAAAACAGTTGCAGGATTCTTCCTCCCTCCCCTCCATTATGCACTTTGTGGAGTAGGATTTGTTTTATATGGTGCAAACGTACTGTATCGACCCATTCTCTCGTATCTAGGCACAAATTTACCGCTCACTGCTTATCTGAGTGAGCTGAGCTCATCAAGGAGTTCTTCGGCATGGAAGAGACTTCAAACCCATAGTACCACAGTATGGACACTTAGGGGATTAAGAAATGAATTCATTCACTAATCCAAATTTTTGCTGTGGTAGTGCTTATTCTTTTGTTCCATGCAGTGCCTCATGTCTAGAAATTTTAGTAAGGATGAATATAGCTTCACATAGTTTAAGGCTAGTTTTTTTTTTTTTTTTTTTTAAACCCTTCTGGATTTTAGTCCCCTTTTGCTTGCATAGCATTTTTTACAAAATTCAGACACTCTTGGAATACCAAAGTTTTTTTCTTGTTTGCACATGGGCCTTGGTGCATCTTTCTAGGAAGTCTTAATTCTGGATTGGTATTATTTGTTCTGAAGAGTTAGGTAAACAACAGACTTTATGAATGGCCTGTTATATTTAGAAAGTGTAACATTTTGATTAGAAGCAGTGTATGTTGTCTGAAGGCAACATTTTATAGAACTCTGGTGGTTTCCTTTTATTGCATGATTGTTTTAAGATGGTTTGCAGTTGTTGAACCTCCTTTAATGCCCTCCTATACACATCCCATAAATGAGATATGGATAGATAATAGTAGAGAGTAAGCAAAGTAGGGGTAGGTACATAATATTGCACTTTTGAGAGCATGCCCACAGTTTGATACTTTTGCTACAGTGTGTTGGTCTGAATGTGCACCAAATTCAGTTTAAAAATTTCTCCCAAAGATCTTTTTCACCTTGCCAGAGTTTGCTAATCTCCTAATAAGGCACTTTAGTTGAAACTGAATTGCAGTACAAGTGTAAAGCATTAGTTGTATGTTCCCTCATTATTTCTTTTACATCAGGTTCAAGAATTTGGAGTTACTGAGGTAAGGGATCTCAAACAAAATGGCCGAAACATAGCTGTTACAGAAGAATCCAAGATGGAGTACATACGTCTTGTATGCCAAATGAAAATGACAGGAGCCATTAGGCAACAGTAAGTATTTATGATAATTCATATGACTCTTAGGACTGTAACCTCTTTGCTCCTCCTCCTAGAGTGCAGACACTAGTTCCTACCACCAAGACTTCAGTCTAGTTTATCAGTTACTCTGCATCCTTTCTAAATCTAATTTTACTGAATCGGTTAATAAAGTACATTCTCTTAAAATAAAATAAAGTGCGGTAGAAGAAAACTCTTGACCTCAGGAAAGAAATTCATAATCTGAATTTGTGGTTCTTTTCTTCTTATCAGCCAGTGTGAGCATTGTTTTTCATTATTTTTGTGTAACTTATAGTTCTGAGAGAATTTTTAATATTTATCACTCGGTGCTTTCTCATGTTTGTTACATGGCACTTGCCTAGGTAAAATTCCATTATCCATAAGTCATAGGATTTTTACATCATTTGCAATCCTATTTGTGTAGATTTTTATTCCAATATCTATTATATAAATTTAAAGCATTGACAGTTATTTAAGAGTCTTGTGGGAACTTGCATTAGCACAGTATCAAAAGCAATAAACATTGCTTACATGCCAGGAAATTTATATAATAGTCGCCCTTCAGTCTTTATTTGTCGAAGATACAATGTTAAATATTAATTTCAAGATAAAACTGACCATTGTTGCTGAGAAGTTTACAAGCAGACAGATGTGAATCAACACTTAAGTAAGACATTAAGAGGATTGTGTAATGTTTGGTATTGTATCTATTTAATTAATTATTTCCATAAGTAAATAATTTTCATTAATTATAAAAAAAATTATTATACTTTCTCAGGTTGAATGCTTTCTTGGAGGGCTTCTATGACATCATTGCTAAGCGTCTTATATCTATTTTTAATGAACAAGAGTTGGAGCTACTTATATCTGGGCTTCCAACAATAGACATAGATGATCTACGAACTAATACTGAATATCACAAATACCAACCGAACTCCTTGCAGGTAAGATGTGTAGAAGACTGCAAAGATGATTCAAAAACTTTTTGCAAAAATGTCTTAAAATTCAGGTTCTACATGTACCTTCACTTTCCTTGTATTAAGTATGAGTACATATCTTCAATATTTAACAGGTGACAATTCTGTGAGTAGAAATTTTCAAATGCTGCACCTGTTTAACCCTTTGAGGGCCGACAGGCCCTCTCCGAGACTCGTTCTCAGGGTCGGCCAAATTTAAAAAAAATAATTTTCTCTTATGAAAAGATAGAGAATCTTTTCCCGATCATAATGACACCAAAAGTTTGAAATTTGATGGAAAACTTACGGAATTATGCTCTTGCGAAGTTAGCGGTCTCAGCGATGTTTACGCATCGGCGATTTTGCCCACTTTGAGCCCCATTTTCAGCCAATTCCACTGTACTAGTCAACAAAAAACATGGATATTTCGCTAGAACTCCATTTTTTTTCTATCGAATGAGTGCAAGAAACCACCCATTTATCAGTTTCAACTATCCAGTACAGTGGTCAGAATTTAGCAATTTTGCCAATTTCACACAAATTTCAAAAGATGCCAATTTCTGAATAGATTCCAGAATAAACAAGAAAGACATTCCTGGCACTAAAATGACATTTCCTCTGTTCATTAGTCACGTCTCAAGGCCCCTCTTACATTCTTTTGCTTTCCACTTTGAATTTTTATTCTATAAAAAATAGAAGATTTACTGTTATGCAGACTACTGCATTAGTGTAAAAAATGGTGTAAATAATATTGACAAACTTGCGAAAGAATATTAGACTCACCAGTTGACGTGTATTGGACACATAGCATGATTTGTTTATTTTTGAACTTTGGTAAAAATCGAACATTTCTGCTACTTTGAGCTCAATTTCAAGGTACTTTTCATTGTAAAACCAGTCAAAATCATCTCTGGTTCTGTAGTATGTCTTCCATTCTATAAAATGAGACCAAGAAAACTAGAATACAACAATAAATACCATGCGAAAATACAGTGCAAAGTCGCTGTTTTATTCCAAAAAAATGGTCAGGTTTTTTTTTTTCTCATTATGCACTGTGTGCTGCAGGATTTTTTTTATACTGCGCACACTGACCACATAGACCCATTCTTTCAAATGTAGGCCTACCAGCTTTCTCCCACTAGATTTGAGGGCGCTAGAATTTAGGCGTACTAGTACGTCAAAAACCCTGGGTCGTAAGCCGTACTAGTACGGCCGAAACCCTCAAAGGGTTAATATCTGCATAGTGTTAGGTTAAATATGACATGTTGAAATTTTATCTGTACTATTTACTAAGTTCTCCAATATTACTTATTGGTTCCCTACATCTCTTACTTTTTTTTTTATTTAAAAGTTGGCCGTCTCCCACCGAGGCAGGGTGACCCAAAAAAGAAAAAGAAAGAAAATCCCCAAAAAGAAAATACTTTCATCATCATTCAACACTTTCACCTCACTCACACATAATCACTGTTTTTGCAGAGGTGCTCAGAATACAACAGTTTAGAAGCATATACGTATAAAGATACACAACATATCCTTCCAAACTGCCAATATCCCAAACCCCTCCTTTAACCCTTTGACTGTCGCAACCCCCAATCCTGAGGTGTCTCCTGGTGTCGCAAAATTTCAAAAAAAAAATATATATATTTTTTCTTATGAAATGATAGAGAATCTTTTCCCGATTGTAATGACACCAAAAAAACGAAATTTGATGGAAAACTGACGGAATTATGCTCTCGCGAAGTTAGCGACCTCGGCGCTGTTTACAAATCGGCGATTTCGCCCACTTTGAGCCCTATTGTCGGCTAATTCCATTGTTCCAGTCGCCCAAACTCATAGCTATTTCTTTAGAACTCCGTTTTTTTCTATCGATTGAGTACAAGAAACTGACCATTTACCGATTTCAACTACCTAATAATGGGGTCAGAAATTTGCAATTTGGCCAATTTCACGAAAACTAAAAAATAGGACAATTTCAAAATAAGGTCCAGAATGAACAATGCAGACATTCCTGGCTCTAAAATAACATTTTCTTTGCTCATCAGTCATGTCTCCAGGCCCCTCTGATATTACTCTTGCTTTCTATTTTGAATTTTTATTCAAACAAAAAATAGAAGACTTACTATTATGCAGACTACTGCAATACTGTAATAATTGTATAAATAACATCAACCCATTCATGACTGCATATTAGAATGGCTAGTTGGACATTTATTGAACAATGGCATCATTTGTTTACTTTTGAACATTGGCAAATATCAAACATTTCCCTTACTTTGAGCTCCATTTCTAGGTTCTTTTTATAGTAAAATCAATCAAAATCACCTCTATTTCTATAATATGTTTTCCATTCTATCAAATGAGACCAAGAAAACGAGAATACAACCATAAATACTATACGAAAATAGACCACAAAGTCGGCATTTTAATTAAAAAAAACGGTCGGTTTTTTTTTTCTCATTATGCACTGCGTGCTCCAGGATTTTTTTTATATGGTGCACACTGACCACACAGACCCATTCTCTCACATGTGGGCCTACCAGCTTTCTCCTGCTTGATTTGAAGCCGCTAGAATTTATGAGTATATATACGTCAAACACGGTACCTCGTAAGACGTATATATATGGCCGCGACAGTCAAAGGGTTAAAGTGCAGGCATTGTACTTCCCATTTCCAGAACTCGAGTTCGGCTATATAAAAATAACCGGTTTCCCTGAATCCCTTCACTAAATATTACCCTGCTCGCACTCCAACAGCTCGTCATGTCCCAAATACCATTCGTCTCCATTCACTCCTATCTAACATGCTCACGAATACTTGCTGGAAGTCCAAGCCCCTCGCCCCTCCAACCTTTTCGAGGATGACCCCTACCCCGCCTTCCTTCCCCTACAGATTTATACGCTTTCCATGTCATTCTACTTTGATCCATTCTCTCTAAATGACCAAACCACCTCAACAACCCCTCTTCAGCCCTCTGACTAATACTTTTATTAACTTCACACCTAATTACCACACTCCGAATTTTCTGCATAATATTCACACCACACATTGCCCTTAGACAGGACATCTCCACTGCCTCCAACCGCCTCCTCGCTGCAGCATTTACAACCCAAGCTTCACACCCATATAAGAGTGTTGGTACTACTGCTATACTTTCATACATTCCCTTCTTTTCCTCCATAGATAACATTTTTTGTCTATACATATACCTCAATGCACCACTCGCCTTTTTTCCTTCACAAGTTCTATGATTAACCTCATCCTTCATAAATCCATCCGCTGATATGTCGACTCCCAAATATTTGAAAACATTCACTTCTTCCATACTCCTCTTCCCCAATTTCATATCCAATTTTTCTTTATCTAAATCATTTGATACCCTCATCACATCATTATTGCTCTTCCTATAATTTTGAGTGTTTAAGAAATGTTTTGGAATAGCTGTCAGAACCATCCCTGTCTGTTTACTTTCAATAATAACCATATTTTGCATTTTAACATTTGCACAAGCTTCCTTTGCAATATATTGAGAATACACTGTACAGTGGAACCTCAAAAATCGAACTGCTCCCAACACAACCAATTATGTAAGTGTATTTTTGTAAGTGCTTTTATAAGTGTATTTTTGAGGGTCTGAAATGGACTAATCTAATATACATTATTCCTGATGGGAATAAATTCATTCGGTAAAGGCACTCGAACAGCTTTCTGGACTGAAGAAAGTTCGATATTTGAGGTTCCACTGTATTTATATATATATAGCTGTACGATCTCATAAATCAAGGAACTCCATTTATCTTAAAAAAATTCCCTTCCCTTTCTTTCATATTTCCTTATCTTTCAAGTATGTTAAAAATCTTCTTACAGCTGCTTTTATACTTTCATATCACCTTCCTCGGTTGCAAGGCCATTGTTTCTATCTTTCACATTTTTTTCCTCTCCTCCACCTCAGAAATTGGATCCAGATTATTGTGGATTTACTCATAGCAATCTAATGTATCTCAAGAACAGTATTTGCATAATTCTAAGGCTTTGTTTACATTTGCATCTCCTATATTTATTAACCCACTTTCCCTTACGTCTTGAGTTGATTGTTGTCTACCTAGGGTACTGTAGTAAATCTTTTGCACCTTTGAGGGCTCATATGTTAACTTTGAAGGGAATGCCTGGATGTTCCATTGTTGGTCCAACAGTTAATGGCCCCAATGTTGTCATCCATGATCTTTTTAAATCTTATTTTTTTATAGTGAATATCTAATAAAATTGATTGCTCTAGAGGGGAAGGAGTGTCCAATTTAGAGAACATCCTGAAAGTTTAAAGTAAGTGAATGTAGTCCGTTTAATTGATTGCCTACCAGACATAGATAAACTTCCAATAAAACAGACTTAGTCCACTGTTTGGATGGATTACTGGATGTGCTAAGAATAAACTAGAGTACAATACAGTATTACCTGTATATGTACATGAAAAGAGAGTTAAAACTACAGTACAGGTCAGTAATGTCTTATCTTTTCTGGTGGATAGATGAGTTTACAAAATCCAACATCTCCAAGACAACACTGTATCGTACCAAAGCGAAGAAAGACCATTCCCTACCTACAAACAGATACTCCACCAACTCCAAACCAACGAATACTACTACAGCTCTCCCATAAGTGTGATACAACTCTCTTGAAAACAATTTACCGCACTGATAAACAGTTTAAGACCATAACCAACTCATCCTGCTTGCTGCCTTCTGACACTCCCAGCTCCTACCGCTGCCTTCGCCATCCTCTCCTAGTTAGCCAAGCAATGACATCAGTCAAGCCTCTCTATCTACGTCTCCAGTACTTTTGTACCACATGTCCCAAAGTGGTTGGGCCACTTGCCTTGATTCCTCCTCTTCCCCTCCTCCCCATCCTTTTCCAGTTATTTCCATCCTTCCTTATCCTTCTTCCTTCCCATCTTACGACAGCTCTCGTCGTCCTCGATTTGATTCGATTCGTCTTCATTTCCACTTCCATCAGTGTCAGAACTATCAGATAGGAAGAGGAGAGTCCCAATTTTCCGGGGAGTGAGAGCTGACTTGCGACGAGGCATGGTGAACAAGGGTAACTGAACCCGGCGTTCCCACAATGCTATGCGGGCGCCTAGATTTTTTGTTTATGGCGCACACCCACCACGCAGACCCGTTCTCTCACATGTAGGACTATGAGCGTTTTCGTGCTAAATTTGACGGCGCTAGAATTTTGGCGTAGATCTATGGTTTGGACACTCAACGTGAAGCCGTAGATCTACGGGACGGACCCTGAAAGGGTTAATTGGAATTAGTGTAATTGAGAAAGTTACTTATTTATCTTCACCCTTTGACTGTTCCTTAAGATGTACACCTCATGGATTGTAAGTGTAGAAAAGCTGGCATTAGTTTAGAGAATTGTAAATACAGTACTGTAGGAAGATTTTTTTAATTTTAATTTTTCTTCAACTTTCTAATTTGTATAGATTCAGTGGTTCTGGCGTGCCTTGAGGTCATTTGATCAAGCTGAGCGTGCCAAATTCCTGCAGTTTGTGACTGGTACAAGTAAAGTTCCACTACAAGGTTTTGTAGCACTAGAGGGCATGAATGGGACACAAAAGTTCCAGATTCATCGTGATGACAGATCAACTGATAGGTTACCTTCAGCTCATACCTGGTAAGTTTTGTGTGTGCGTGTTTTGTTGTTGTTGTTTGTTAGTTCCCACCTGTAAGGAAAACAATTTCCTAGTGAAGGTAGGACCTAGACAAGGATGTCATGTCACCATGGTTGTTTAATATATTAATGGGGTTGTAAAAGTGACTCCTAGTGTTGAGGAGAGGTGTGAGGTTAACATATTGGAACTGATACAGGTTGGGAGATGTCGGTTACATTTTTGCAAGTGACGTAGTACTTTTGTGGGAGATTCTGAAGACACACTGCAAAGTTTGGAGGACTAATTTGGGAAGTTATATATAAGTTGGAAGTTAAAGGTGAATATTATAAAAGATCAGTGATGAGGGGGTAACAAAAATCCTAGGCAGTGATAGATTGAATATCAGATTGGAGGGTGGGAGTATGGAAGAGGTAGATGTAGATTGAATATCAGATTGGAGGGTGGGAGTATGGAAGAGGTAGATGTATTCACATATTTGGAAGCAGAAATGTTAGCAGACGAGTCCATAAAATGTGGTGAATGATAGATTGGGAGGAGGGGGTGAGGCATCCTTCAAACAAAACTAGTTTTCATTTTAATAATGTCCCAGGAACAGCTTTTGAATTTTAGGAGTTTGAGCATCCAGCAGGCTTGCAGGTTTGTTAGTGAATGAAGATGAGTGGTAATTTAAGGGACGTATAGTTGGAATGTGGGCTAGGTAACGTTCATTGAGGAATTCAGGGGAAATTGGACTTGTCCTGGAGATGGGAAGGGCAGTACCTGCATTTGGAAGGAGGTACGGAGATATTGGTCAGTGTAATCTGAATTGTGTTGTCAGCACACTTATGATGAGATGGCATCTGAATGAATGATTGTGAATGTAAAAAGTTTATTGGCTTGCTCTTCCTTGCTTGGAGATGGCTGTTAAGATAAAAAATAATTTCTGGAATTTTATTATTTTAGTGAACTGGTTTTATCATAATTTACAATAAAAAATTATTTTTTGACCTAAAATACAATAAATGATTAAATTATCTGATTGAGTGACACTTCTGCATTATATAGATTTGCTCTTAAAAATATCTTCTAATGGTTATCTCTTTATTGACAGCTTCAACCAGTTGGACCTACCAGTGTATGAAACCTACGATAAGCTACGTCACTATTTATTAAAAGCCATTCACGAGTGTTCTGAGGGTTTTGGTTTTGCATAGAAATTTTAATTTTTTCCCCACAGCTCCAGCTGTGACAGATACTAAAGTAAAAAGAAAAATGTAGGAAAAAAAAAAGAAAAACGGAAAGCTAAAAATAAACTTGCTAAAGCGTGTGCACAGTGGGAGCTCTGGTTCATATTTACAAGTGTAGTCGTAACAAACAAAAACACACACACACACAATAGTGAGAGGCACATGGAGAATTGTGATTAATCTTACTGATGTAAGGGCATGTTCATCTTAACATGTAATACTTTCGCCTAAGGTTCGGTGGTTGTGGTTGGCGTGTAAAGTGTGTTTGAGCATTGAATTATTTTTTTCTATTATGATTATCATCACTGTACATTATTAAATAACCAACCAAAAGAAGGTTCGTGTTTGTTCATCGCTCCCAAACTGATAGTAGTAGGAGCTTAATATGATGATTGTTATAAAATAAGTCACCAAGCTGTAATGCTTGACATGTTTATAGCATAGCAAACTGTATATTGTATTCAGATATACATATAGTTGAAAATATTTCTTAACTTTAATTTTGTATTTTGTCTCTTTTGGATGGATTTTCAGCATATATTGTGTGCGCACAGATATTAATGAAAGAAATATTTTGAGCAGCTTCAGATATTTTATAAGCAAGCATTGAACCTTCCAGCAAATCCTGAAAATGTGATAGGTATTACCAAGTTTTCTGCCCAATTTATTGTGCACCTTTACTTAAACTCGCCTTTCCTATTTTAGTCTCCCGATACCAATAACTCTCCTTAACCTACACTTTAAGAGTAAATAATTGATTCCATAGCCAACAGTAGGTCATACATGGAACTTGGATTACTGACCTGTTGACACCCAATGCCCAGGTTGACTTTTTTTTTTTTCCTACTTGTATATCTCCACTATCTCCACCTTTGGGCTAGAGGTGAGAACTGGAGAAGTAGGCCCACGTCATTTTACTTCGTTAATTCAAAGGAAAACCAACAAGAACTAAAAAATTATGAATTCCTCGGAGTTGTATGGACAACAGAAACCTGAGAATTTATGCTTTAAATGATGGATCCTTTTCTTGACACAGTTTCACATCAGTGTGTGTGTGTGTATGTGTGTGTGTGTGTGTGTGTGTGTGTGTGTGTGTGTGTGTGTGTAAAATCTTGTTATATTCATACAGACATGTGCTTGTGTATGCATGCATAAATATACATATTCACATGCATAAACATACACATGTATATGTGTACACATACATACATGTACATGCATACACAGTGCATGTACACTGCACATACACATGTACACACACATATATGTACACATATACACACATATGTACACATACACACACACACATATGTACACACATATACACACATACATACACACACATGTACACACACAATGTACACACACAATGTACACACACAATGTACACACACACACACACATATGCACATACACACACACACATATGCACATACACATGTACACACACACACTGTTCACAATACACACACACAACTACTAGTAGTATCACTGTGCTGTATATTCTGGCCTCACTACTGCTGTACATATAATTAAAAAATACACTTGTATATCTAATGTGATAAATTTACCTTAAGGGCTGTCTAATATTGCTACAAAGTGTTGAACATTATTGTAGAGATAATAGAGTGACACGTGAAGAACTTTTGCAGGTATTGTATTGGCAGGTTTCCATGAAACTTGGAATGGGCTTCTGAAATCTTATCACCATGAATTAGTTTATAGTAATGCCTCTTTGTTTTATTTTTCAACTTTTTCTTATTTTTTGGCAGCCTTGCATTAAAAGCATGAGGAGCATTGTCAGTATTATAAAACTGAAAAACATAGCCAGCTCTTGTCAAATTCTGCATAAAAGGAAACTAGTATTGAGAGTGCATTGAGTGTAGCAACACGTTGGGTGTTGTGCTGTGTGAAGTGTTGAAGTTTTCAGGTGTTAGTGAAGTGTTTCTGGCCACAGCATGAAAGGAAAATATGTAAAGTACATTATATTAAATGTTTACAAATAGTTAGTGATCCTTCTGTTCGTTAAGTATTTTTCATTTGTGAATGATCATTTATTATATATGTTCTTATGGGTTAATATTTTTTTAATTTAAAAAGATGTGTAGACATTGAGTTACGAGTTTTTTATTTTGTCACAGTTAGCCCAGATGTTACATAGTGTATTTTATCACATATGCAACAATCGTTCTTCTACTTTACCATGTTGGCATTAAAATACACAGTATTAATTAATTGAATCATTAATCCTTCATTCTCAAGATAATTTGCCATCCTAATTATATAAGATACAAAGGCACTCCAAAGCAAAAGCCATTAATACAGTACATCTGAAGGAATATATTTTAGTTATGGGGTGTATTATGGTCTTTGTCAGTGCCTTGGGTTGTACTAGTTGGGGGCTTCCCATGTCATGGTGGCCACAACCACAAAATAAGCACTACTCCTGTTTCTGTAATACACGAAGTTCTGTGTACAGTACTAGCCATTGCTGCTAGCCTGAAAGTTGAATATTCCCTGGTGCTACAGCACATCTTCAGAACAGTTCTTTGGTGAATGGATAGAGGCAAGAAGATTGTGGGTTGGCGGTTACTACGAATTCTATTTTTGTGGTTATAATTAGGTAATTCTTATGTGGATCAGTTCACGAGTATTTTTAATGAATGCAACACTTAACTACATGTGTTCCTTAACTTCTGTTCTTCTTTTGCACAGGGATTGCTTTCCTAATTCTAGGGGATTGCTCTGCACTGTATGACCTCTTCAAGGGGGGCTCCTTGGTGTGGTGAAGAGGCTCTTGGTCTGAGGAATTAGACCTGTCGGTCTCCTTCCTCAGACCGAACCTAATTACCCCCCAATCCCCCCTTCCCTATCCCATCTTCCCCTTTTTCCTTTCCTCCTCCTCCTCCCCCC